ATAAAACATTCAATAAGGAATGAATAAAGAACTACTTAACGGTCGTAGCTGAAGCGTGACGACGAAAATCTTTTTTCATTCAAGAATTTCTTTTTCTCTCTTTTGACTTGCAAAAAAAAAGGAATTTACTGCAAAAAAAATATAAAGGAATGGAAAACAAACACGAAAGAAATAAGAATGGAAAGAAAAACGGAAACGGAAAAGGAAAAGTGAAGACGAAAACTTTATTCATTGTGAGAAACTTACTAAGTAGTCGATGAGTATGTGAATGTAAATCATTTGAAAGGATTTTTCTAACTGGCCTAGTTTGTTATGTTGAAGCATGCCTGCACTGTCTGCTGTGTATTGTCTGGTTGCTTAGTTGTTTGCAGTTTAAAGTTAAAATGTTTTAAAGATTTGAAATCCATTTTGAAGAACTTCGGAAATCATTTTGAAGAACTTCGGAAATCATTTTGAAGAAGAATTTTGAAAACCATTTTGAAAAATTTTGGAAAAAATTTTGAAGAACATTGGAAACAATTTTGAAAAATTTTGGAAACCATTTTGAACAACTTTGGAAACCGTTTTGAAGAACTTTGGAAACCGTTTTGAAGAACTTCGGAAATCATTTTGAAGAACTTTGGAAACAATTTTGAAAAATTTTGGAAAACATTTTGAAGAACTTCGGAAATCATTTTTAAGAAGAATTTTGAAAACCATTTTGAAGAACTTTGGAAAAAATTTTGAAGAACATTGGAAACAATTTTGAAAAATTTTGGAAACCATTTTGAAGAACTTTGGAAACCGTTTTTAAAAACTTTGGAAACCATTTTGAAGAACTTTGAAAACAATTTTGAAGAATTTTGGAAACAATTTTGAAGAATTTTGGAAACAATTTTGAAGAACTTTGGAAACCATTTTGAAGAACTTTGGAAACCAATTTGAAGAACTTTGGAAACCAATTTGAAGAACTTTAGAAAACGTTTTGAAGAACTTTGGAAACCATTTTGAAGAACTTTGGAAACCATTTTGAAGAATTTTGAAATTTAAGAAAACATTTGAACAAACGGTTAAAAATTCAAATTTGATTCCAACAACTCTTGGTTCAAGACGAAAAATAAGAGAGTTTCGAAAACAATTCAAAGAGACTTAAATCAACCAACAAGAGAAAATTTGCAAAAATGAGAAATTTTCGCAAATATTTTCTCACTCAAAAAGTTTTTCTCTCGCAATTTTCTCTCTTACAACCAAAAAATCTACAACGAGGACATTTTCCTTACATTATGCCATCAAAAAGCATTAAAAAGTGCGACTTTCTTTCTATTTTCGTTCTTCTTACATCAATTTGAACGAAAACAATTTTTACAAGAAAAGCACACGAAAATGTGAAAAAGTTTGTCATCGCATGCGCAAAAATAAATTTATTTTTATTTCTATTACAACAGAAACGTAACAAAAAGGAGCGAAAATGTTAAACAATTTAAATGAAAATGTACACACAACTTTTCTTTTTGTTGGTGGATTGAGTTATGTGACAATGTTCCTCACATGCCGACTCATATTCATTCCAATTGGATTAAGTGAAAAGAAAAAAAAATAACTTTTTACATTGGGAATGAAAATTGAAAAGTAAATAAATAAAGGAAAATGGAAATTTATGTTTTTGTTGAGCGTGGCAATGAGGGAATGACCTTCAGATTAAGGTGATAAATGCTTTAAGATTGGAATTAAAAATTAAGTTGTTAAAATTGTTAAAAATTTCAAATTGTTAAACTTAAAAAACCTGAAATAAAAAAATGAACTTTTCTGCAAATTAAAAAACAATGTGTAAATTTTTCATTGACTTTTTTGTGTTTTTATTGAATCAAATCATTTTTCTCCTTTTTCATTTTTAAATTTTTTTGTCTTTTTACAAAGAAAGAAAAGAATTTTTTTTATTAATTTAAATTAAATTTATAGTTATTTTTTTCCTACTTTTTGAGATTTTTCCTTTAAATAGTTTTTTTAACTTTTCTCTTTTCCAGCGAAAAAAGCGACTAGATTTATAGATTTTTGACGAGATTGGTTTTTAATTAGCATTTGTTCAGCTTTAAGCAAATGTTCTGGTGACTTTTTTGAAACAATTTGAGATAATTTTTATGCAAAACGTTCAAATTTTAATAATTTTGCTTTTCTTTTCAAAAAAAGTTGAATAAATTCAAAGCTTTTTCAACAAAACACAAACAAAAAGTAGAAATTTTAAAATTCTTGCATGAAAATTAATTCAAAATTTCAATTAAAGTTTTAAATAGTAAATAAATTTGATTTGCAAATTAAAATAAAAAATGTAATTTAAAATATATTAAAATTTATTACTAAGTAGAACTGGAATGTTCAATTTGGAATAGTTGCTGACTTTGGCAAAAGTTTTCGATTTTTTACAATAAAACTTAAGCTTTTAAATGCAATTTAATCCACAAATAATTAAGTACGTTTTGCCAAATAGCTCAAATCTTCATTGGAATGAGTTTGTTAAATACAAATTGAGTTTTCTTATCACAGAAATCATAAAAAAATAAAGCAAAGTGCAACCTCAAATGTAAAAAAAATTAAAAGCTTACAATGCTTTTAGAATTCAAAATTTATAGATTTCAATATTTAAAGAAAATCTAAATAAAGTTTTTCCAATCGCTTTTTTAGTATTTTTTCCAGCACTTCTTTTTCCTTTTTTTCTTAATATTTTTATTTCTCAGCATTTTTATACACAAAACCAGAACCAAAAAACAAATTCAGCGATGTGGTTCAAAGAAGAAAAAATTCCTTTTTAAACTTTTTTTTGCAATTATTATAATTGTGAATTATTTTCTTTCTTCTTTACTACAAATTAATTATTCTTTAATAACTTTAATTATTTTTACTTTTTTTCTTTGGTATTTTTTTTGTTTTTGCTCTAAAAATTAAATAATTTAAGAATTTATTTTCAATCTTCTTTTTGACTTTTGTTTATTTTTTTAAGAAGAAAAGGTTTTACTTGCAACATTTTTTGTTTCAAATCTACAGGTGTGTGAGTTTTTTTTGGTTTTTATTTTGTGATTTATTTTTATCATTTGCAGTTTTTTGGGATTTTATGTATCTTTTCTGATTATTTTAAAAAGTACTTTTTAAAATAAATTATTGATTGATTTTTTTTGTTAATAACTTATTTTAAAAACTCATTTTGATTTGAAATTTTAAAATTTTTATCTTAATTTTTAACATTTTTCAAACTTTAAAAATTTTTGAAAATAAATATTAAATGAATAAAAGGAGAACAACTCAAATATACTTTAAGCTTATTTAAGTATTGAAAAAGAAGTTTTCATTAAAAAAAATTTGAATTTAAGCCCAATTTCAGATTTGAATAAAAATAAAAGATTTAAAATTCCAAATCAATTTTCTCCTTTTTGAATTTAATTATTCATCACCTATTCTGTGGGTAGATTTTTTTTATATATTTTATATTAAGTTGCATCTTATTATGTATCTCAAATGTAAGTATTCTACAAATTACAATATTTTTTCATTACTTTGTCTTTTTTGTTTAATTTAATTATTTTTTATCATCATTTTCAATCACTATAATTAACTTGTTTCTTGTTTTTCTTTATATAATCAATAATAATAATCATTAATATTTTTTTATGTCACTTGCTTGCTCTAAATAATTTTTTTTATTTATTATATTTTATTTATTAATTTATTTACTTTCAAGGTTTTTTTGAAGTTATTTTTTTGGAATTTGGAGATCGGTGATAATAGTTAATAAATTTATAAAATTTGAATTCTTGAAGGATTTTAAAATCAGTTTAATTTTAATTTCACAAATTTATTTAAAATTAGTTTCATAATTTTAAAAAACATTTTAATTTTTTCTTAAAAACTTTCAAACTTTTTATATTCAATATTTTTCAGATTGCTTTTTAAAATTTGAAAAAAAAATAAAATAAAATTTATTTATAATATTTTAAACCAAAAATCAAATTTTAACAATTTATCAACCCATCCCCACCCTCTCAAAATTCACCTCATATTTTTACTTTTTTGTGAGTTTTTTTTTCATCATAATTTTTACTTTCTAATCATTTTAATTATTTTCAAATAACTTTTTAGTTTTAGGGCGGGCTACGACCGCAAGGCATTAATAAAAAATGTATGTGTGTATGTGTGTGTATTTATATGTGTGAGTGTTTGTGTTTTTTCAACTCTTTTACTGCATTCAAAAAATAGCAAACTTTTTGGTGATTTTTTCCTCAATTATTGCTTGTTTTAGTTTAGATTTTAATAGATTTTTGGGCTTCTAGTTTGAAATTCGTGATTAGGGTTAGGGCCGGAGGGAGTCATTAGGATCAAATTTCAGAAAGTTTAAAGAAAAAATCGGTTAAAATTTGGGAATTTTTATGTTTTTTGAAGTTATGTCGCAAAACTGTACACAAAATCCTATTAATAATCTTTGTAATTCCAGATCATATTCCCCTAGCCCCAGCAAATCTCACATCAATCTCATCTAACTATATTACCGTGTATATGTATTCATATGTAAGTGTGTGAGTGTATCATTTGTCTTTTTTTTTCAATAATTATTTTTTCACCATAATTTGTCAGTTATTTAATTATTTTTTTTTACATTATCACTACAAAAATGAAAACTACAAAATAGCAGTTAAATAGATCCACAACTAAAATTCATCGACAAGCTTATTAAGTGCTTCACCGTTATCATATAATCCAATATAATCATCATCCGACTGATGATCGTCATCTTCATCATCGGTTCCAACAACTGGCATCATAATTTGTTTATCACCGTCTGTTGATTCATCGCTGCTGAATCCATTATTATTGCTACTCACATCATGATGTCCGTCTGTCGTCTTGTTCTGCTGATGATGATGTTGATGATGATGATGATGATGATTGTTGTTGTAATATTTAAGGGTTGATCGATCATTACCGCCTCCGTCATCATCAAAATCATTCGGATCGTATGACCGGTTGTTGTTATGTCACATCTCATCATGCGCCGCATTCTGTGCTGCCTGCTGTTGTGCATGATGTTGCTGTAAATGATATTGAATTTGTTGTTTTGTTGCCTGCTGTTGTACTGCATCCATTTGACATTCATCATCACCGGTATCGTCGTCATCATCATCATTATTTTGAGTTCCATCGTCACCATCATCGTGCGATTCCTCTTGCCATTTGTCAGACGAGCGTCGGCGGGAATTCATAAAGAAATTTCCAACTGTTGTGGCTTGCAAGCAGAGCTGGCGAGCAATTGTCACGACCATTTCCTTGGACGGACGTTTTGTTTCCTAAAATTAATAATTTTGGGTTAGAATGTTTTACAAATTTGGTGGATTATAATCCTCAAGTTGAGCAAAATGAAAAAAAAAATTCTTCAAGTTGAACAAGATTTTGTCAAGTTGAAAAAGAAGCACCAAGTTATACAGAATGACGTCAAGTTGAACAAGATGATGTCAAGTTGAACAAGATGATATCAAGTTGAGCAAGATGATGTCAAGTTGAACAAGATGATATCAAGTTGAGCAAGGTGACATCAAGTTGAACAAGATGACTTCAATTTGAACAAGATAATGTCAAGTTGAACAAGATGATGTCAATTTGAACAAGATAATATCAAGTTGAACAAGATGGCATTAAGTTGAATAAGCTGACATCAAGTTGAAAAAAAGGATAAAATGGCATCAAATTGTAAAAAAATCTAGTTTGACATCAAGTTGTGCAAAATAATGTCAAGTTGAAGCAAACTTTTTCTCTCAAAAATAAAACAAGATGGCTATAAAAAAAGTAAAAAAACTTAACAAACATTTACTTTAAATATTGCTTGTAAGGTACGTCTCTGTAGATCAGTAAAGACCAATCGTGGTTTCTTTGGTGTCTGCACATGATCAGGCTCCTCCTTTCGCTTGCAGCCTGCACCATCAGATGAGTAGACATCAAAATTTTGAGATGGTTTTACAAAAGAAAGAAAAAAATGTCACATTAATTGACGCTGTCAACAAAAGAATTTGAAATTCTTGAGAGTACTCACTTCCTCTTTGTGGAATTTGGGCAGCTGAAAGTGGTTCAGATTGATGAATTTTCATGAAATAAAAAGGAAAAATAACATTTTTCGATTAATTATTTAACATTAACAAAGCAAATTTTACAAAAAAAATATTTCTAAAAAATCATTTGTAAAAATCACAAAAGTTCATGCAACCCTTTCATTTCCTTTCCTCAATTTTCTACCTTAATCAACATTTTTTATCTAATTTACATAATGAAACAAGAAAGACAAAAAAAGAACTACACGCGAATCGTCATTAGGACTTGCTGTGACGTCATGCGACACATTTTCACATTTTGTGGATTTTACAACGGAAGTCCTGTATTTCAAAACCCTGTCCTGTATAAATTTGAAAATTTTGTTCCAGGTCGTGTGTTTTTTTTACGAAAATTTCCGTTAATTTTCAAATTTTCCTTTGTGTCCTGTATTTTTTAGGAAATTTATCAAATGTCCTGTATTTTCATAAAAATTAGATGGTCACCCTACAGATGAGACAGTTTATAAGCCGATAGAACCCTTAAAACTTTCCAAAATTTACCCTAATTTTAGTCATTAAGTACAATAATACCACCTCCAACTCAGATCTTAAACTCCTGATAAACTCCGTCCCAACTTATTCTACATATTTAGTCATTCGACCAGCTGCATATGCTCATGCATGCGTGAAGATTGGACAGCTGAATTTGATGTAAATTAATATACTTTTTCTCATTATTTCGTAGTTCACTGAGTGCAGCTTTAGGTCATAATTACGAATTTCCTTAATCAGCTGGCACTTAAAAACTGTATGCTGATGTTGGCATGCATTAGTGATGAGGAGCTAGGCGGAGTGATTGAGGGGATTTCTACTCTCTCTCGGTAGTTTAAATTTCTTTAATTTTTCTACGGTTTTTCGCAAAAAAATGGATTTTCCGTCTCCGAATTTTTCCATACAAAAATTTCAAAACGTACCCTCTGGAAAAATTCCTGGTTACGTCGTTGTCATGTATGTTTGGTCAAATTGAAAGATAGAGAAAACAAATATTGAAGAATTTTCAATAAAATTTTGAAAATGATTGAGATTGGATTGGTAAAGTTGAGCTTAAGGAAGTCTGGTTAGGTTAAATGCATTAGATTGGCTATTTGCATGTTGTTTCGATATTTACTTAATGATTAAGCTCCTAAAATCAGTCAGTTTTAGCATAGCATTTAGAAAATGCATAGCTAGTGTGTATTAAGTTGTTAGTCCTTTTCCAAAAACATGTCTACCTGAAGTACAAATCAAGCCAATTTCAGTCTTGATGAACACAAACAGTAGACGGAAAAAAAAGGTTTTAAGGGGTTCAGCGCACCTCATCTTTCCCTTGAGCTAATGACAATGTGTATCAACCCTAAAACTCCTTGCTCAAACCCTGCGACTTAATTATCATCAATGCTAGGTTTTTGTTTAAAAAATCAACTCAATATTTGTCATTTTTTTGCAAAATTCGGGTCAACTTCAAGCTCAGTGGGACTTTTTACTATAAATTAAGATTCTATATCATTATCGGTGTTCACGAAAGTCTCATAGACTCCATATTCCATACCATAAATGATATTTTAATTTCAACACATCATATCTTCATACCAGCATTCATTTATGAGCATTCTAGTATCAAATTTAGGTTAATTAAACTTGCTGCAGCATTAAAATATTATGTCAGTGAAAAATTTACTGCTAATTATCTTCACTCGAGCATTAAGCTTGACTAACGGGCTTTTTGAGGTAAATTTAATGGCCATCAAATGTTTGCAAATTGGATTAAAATAATTTTTTGACAGCGAAACCCCAAAAATATTATTTTTGGTAAATTGTTTTGAAATTCAATATGACAATAAGGATTTATTATTTTAATTTGAACTAAATTTGAGGTAAGGTTGTATTCGCCCTCGCACAATTGTTAAAAAATCCTCTTTTTCTATGTCATTCGCCCCTATTCGTCTTCATTTCTTTTCTTTCGTATTCAAATTCTCTTCCCCGACTATTTCACAGATATGAATCGACACCGTCATGATACGCGCATAGCGTAAAGCCACAAATACACAAAAAAAATAAAATATTATAAACTATATCAGATGTCGCATGTTAAAACACCTGGCAGTGGCCCACATGTCGATTCTGATGTGTAGTGGGGTTTGCTGTAAATGTAGACAATTTTTTATTTTGTTGTTTTTTTTCTTCCTATTATCATCTGCATATAATAATCATGTTAATTGTGTTGTGCGTAGAGTTGTGGGTGAGACTTTATGGTATTTTTTTTGGATGTGCGTGAACCCTTGTGTTTATTTTGGGAATAATTGAGAACAATTTTTGAAGAGAGTTGGTAATGTGCTTTGATTTTGGATTTTGAAAGAATTTGTAATGGGTAATAAGTAAGTTTCAGCTTAAGTTTAGCTTAGGTTGAGCTTTGGTTCATTTTGAAGTTTAGTTTAAGTTGAGCTAAGGTTCAGCTTGGGGTCAGCTTAAGTTAAGCTAAGCTTCAGCTTGAAGTTCAGAATAGATTCAGCTTGGGTTCAGCTTGAAGTTTAGTTTAGGTTCAGCTTGGATTTAGCTTAGTTTCAGCTAAAGTTAAGATTAGGTTCAGCTTGGGTTCAGCTAGGAAGGTTCAGCTTCGGTTCAGCTTTGGTTCAGCTTAGGTTAAGCTTAAGTTCAGCTTAGATTTAGCTTGGGTTTAGCTTATGTTAAGCTTGGGTTCACCTTGAATCTTAGCTTAGGTTCAGCTTAGGTTCAGCTTGGCTTCAGCTTAGGTTTAGCTTGGCTTCAGCTTAAGTTTTAACCTTAAAGTTCAGCTTAGCTTGAGCTTAAGTTAAAATTAAGTTCAGCTTGGGTTCAGCAAAGGTTCAGTTTTGGTTCAGCTTTGGTTCAGCTTAAGTTAAGCTTTAGTTCATCTTAGGTTTAGCTTGGTTACAGCTTAAGTTAAGCTTGGATTCAGCTTAGGTTAAGCTTGGATTCAGCTTTGGTTAAGCTTGGGTTCAGCTTAGGTTAAACTTGGGTTAAGCTTGGGTTCAGCTAAGATTAAGCTTAGGTTCAGCTTAAGACCAACTCTGGTTCAGCTTAATGTCAGCTTTAGTTCAGCTTTGGTTCAGCTAAAGTTAAGCTTAAGGTCAGCTTTAGTTCAGCTTTGGTTTAGCTTGAAGTCAAGCTTTGATTTTGCTTCTTAAAAAAACACGATCGAAAATTTAACAAAAAACGAAATATTTTGCAAAACCATCAAAGGTGTCACACCTTTCATCGATATAAGTTTATGACCATTAATTCGCAACTGTTTATCATAAATTAATTGAAAACGCACGGTTTTGCGTTTCTTTACAAGTAATTTTTTTCTTTTTGCAATCAAGCTCTCTTTCGTGCTGCATACACACATAAATGCGTACTTGTATTATTCGTTATTTTTGCAACCAAAATTTTCATCGTGGCGTGAAAAATATAAACTTTTATGAGGCTATTGTCTGTTTTATGGACTTATGGGATTTAATTTGAAAGCCTTTTTTTTTTGATTTCTTGTTTGTTTTGCGTCGATTATATTGGCATGTTGGTGTCAATTGGGTCCATTAATGTTTTATTGTTTTACAAAATTGTCGACCTTTGTGACCCGATTTAAATAATATTTGCATGCTGAGAGTTAAAAAACACCAATTAAGTGATAATAACCTGAAAATTTACCATTACCTGCTAGTCTGAGTGCCGACATTCTCTGATATTCTGGCTCTTGAAGCCATTTTGCCATTCTCCTGAAGGTTTCTCGTCCAGACTTCAATTTCGACCATGGCTTTGGGTTTCTTAGCAAGTCAGACAAGGTCCCCTAAAAATTATTTAATTGTTAATAAAATCCAACATCTGTTATTTGTGGTTTAAAATTAATCAACCAAAAAAATTCTCGCTCACCTGCGATCGACACAAGACACGTTGTGCGAAAATTGCTTGCGGTATGCTATATCTTTTCAACTCAGCACTGATGCGCTGTGCTAATTCTTTAGTATTAATTTCTTCAACATCATTCGATAACGATAGCGAACTTGATGATAATTTACTGCTCTTTGTTGGAATTGCACCTGACGTTGTGTTGCTATTGCTTCCGGTGTTTTCGCTCTACAAATGTGGAGAGAATTTTATTGGTTTATATTTTTGGAGTAGTTTTTTAATTGTACTAGATTTTTGGAGTTTCGTACTAGATTTTTATAACTTGAACTGTGAATGAAGTGAAATTGAAATAGATTTCTAAAATTGTACTAGATTATTGTCAAATTGTACCAGATTATTGACAAATTGTACTAGATTATTGACAAATTGTCTTAGATTGTTATCAATTCGTACTAGATTTATGTCACTTTGTACTAGATTTATGACAAATTGTACTAGATTATTGTTAATTTGTACTAGATTTCTATAAATTTGTGCTAGATTATTGTCAATTTTAATTTGATTTTTGCCAAAATATTGCAATGTATCCCAAATACTTACTCTCTGAATCATTGGTGGTACGGGCGACACACTACTACTTCCACTGAGAAGCTCACGATTATTTTGATTGTGATGATGATGCGGCTGCTGCTGTTGTGATGTTAAATGATGTTGTTGCTGTTGTTGTTGACCACCATTACCACCAATTTGTACAAATCCAGATTGTGAACCATTATGATGTATATTAGATGGCGATTCCATCATTTTACCATTCCATAATTTATCCATATGTTGATCCACCGGTGAATGCAATTCAGCCGATTGTGCACTCAACGTTGGACTCGGTGCGGATGTTGTAATTGAGATATTTTGCTGTTGTTGACCATTGCTTCCATTTTGTCGAATTCCATTGTATATTGAGTCGGGTATTGGTGAGTAACTGTGTGGAGGTGATGCGGGCGATGCTTGATCACCTAAATTTGGATTTCCATTTCCATTGCCATTTTGACGTATTGATGTTGGTGTTGAGGCTAGCAAGTCACGATGATAAGGAGACTCGTATCCCGGTGACATGCTTTTCTGAGGTGATGGAAGGCCATTTTGACTGTAAATTGATTGTGGAATTGGTGAGTAGCTATGTGGTGGTGATATGTCCATCGATGGTGATTTGTCGTATGTGTATGGTGAGTTTACACCGAGACCTACAATAATAATTTAAATTTTGAGGTTAGAATTTACAATACGTCCCTGAAAAGAGTAACTCACCATGTCCATGTCCGTAAGCAAACTTATCCGACATAGTCGATATAGGTGGCAAAGGCTGAAGTGGCGTGAGTGTTGCATAACTTGAATTTGGACTAAAACCTGGCGGTGACATTCGTCCATTCACTGACGTTAATGTCTGGTATGTTGGCTCATTCATCGCACGAAAATCCGATGCATCAATTATTTCTGTACATGGTCCTGAGCCAGGACTGAGAATTTGTGAATCACGCGAATCATCGTGCGGTTGTACAATCACTGAAAGTGTCTCTTGCTTCTGATGGTGGTGTTGCTGGGATGAGTGGTGATCGAGTTGGTTGTCTGGTTGAGAATAATTAGTGAAATTAGTAAGTTGGGTCATTTTTGAGTATTAGAGCTTGATTATTTAAGGGTTTTAGTTGTCAACTTACCAACATCAACGCATGGATGCTCTTGTTTGACCATGTCAAGACCAGAAACAGCCTGACTTGCATGTGTGATTATTCGACCACGTTGATGGTCTAATTGCTCTGTAATCAAATAAGATTTATTAGTTTTTAATGTTTCATGTCGCAAGCGAAAACTGTAGTCTATAAAACACCAGCTGAAGTCTTGAACCTTGCTTGAACCTCTTACCAAAGTTACAAAAATTCGGATTTTAGTTTCAAACCCCTAAATGAACTATCCATACTGCTAGTTTTATTAGCTAAGTCTTGACTTTAGTCACAAAATGCTATTTTTAATTCCAAACCCCTGATAAAAGTGTCCATAATGCTTGTTTTTGTTCAAAAACTCTGAATTTAGCCTCAAATATTAGTTATAGACTCAAATGCTTGACTTTAGTTCTAAACCCACTGACAATAGTCCTTCAAACACAAGTTGTGGTCCCAAACCCCTGACAATAATCCCTAAACCAGTGTGTGTGTGTGTGTGTGTGTGTGTGTGTGTGTGTGTGTGTTTTTAAACACCTGACTAGTCTCAAAATTACTATTTGTAGTCTCAAACCTCTGATTACAGTTACCGAAATCCTAGTTTGTGTCCAACATCCTTGATAATTGATCTTTTAACTTGACCATAGTTCAAAAACCTTAAGTCTTACAGCCCCAAAATACCAGCCACCTTCCCAAACTTCCACACTCATTACTCACCATTATTATTCATCTCATGTCCACCGCGATGTATCAAGTGTCCAGTTTGAGTATTTACCATAACAATTGAGCCATTATGATGATGACGATGAGTACGATGCTGTATGTGATGTGTGTGATGTGATTCCTCAACCAATGGCTCTGCTATTTCTTGTTCAATTATCTCCTCAATTGTCTCCATGACTTTTTATTATTATTTTTATTTTTATTACAATTTCTTTCTTTTTTTGACTAGAATATGCACAAAATATTATTTTTTTTTTAGTTTCCGTGTTTGTCGAGGAAATGGAAATGACTAGGTGGGAATGACTAGATATGATGGACTTTAATGACTAGAATTTTTTTTATTCACGTATGTGAGATTATTTTTTGCTCTTTTTTGCACTTCTTTTTGACTAGAAAATTTATTTTTTTTTGTTACTTGTTTTTACATTTGACAGCAGCACCGACTTGCTTACTGAGAATTATTTTTTTATTTTACAATGTTTTTGGGTGATTCAATTCATTTTTCTTTTCACTATCACTGATTGTTAATCTTTTGTAGTTTTTTTGGGTTGGGTATTTACAAGTTATTTTGAGTGTTTTGTTTTTTGGTGGTGAGTTTTGTAACTTAGGATGCACTTTTCATGATTTTTGGATTTAATTTGAGGTTAGGTTTTTCGATTTTGAGATCAATTGTTCGCAAAAAGTTGAAATAAATTTGAAAATTTAGTCAAAAACTTGATTTTGTTAAAGTTTCTTAGGTTTAAAAGATTGTGAAGCTTTAATGCACTTTATTAAGCTTTTTGTAGCTTTCTAGCACTTATCAGTTCTCAGTCAAACCTCAATTGGTTCCACAATGTCTGCAATTCGCCTCACAATTGTTCAAAATCCATTTTTGGGAGTTTTCTTGGTTTTTGAATTTTATTCTTCAATTTACAAAAATTTTTCACTTTTGTTTTAATTTTTCTTTTTTAATTTTTTTTTGTAGTTATTTGTTCTTTGGTATCAGTCCAGATTATTGTTGCTGTTGCTGTTCTTGAACTTGTTCAAAATTTATGACTAGAACGATGTTATTGACTTTAATCCAGCTTAGCTTTCTCAATTTACAACCACTAAAATGAGAAAAAAAGAAGATTTTATTTATAAATTGTAGAAAAATTAAATTTTAAAATTTAAATTAAACTAAAATAAAGATTTAGAAAGTTTTTTGCTATTAAGATAACTTTGACAAAAATTCTTCATATTTTGGTTCAAAATGTAAATCAATTTGCCTCAATTTTGCTCAAAAATTGTCAAAATTCATAGAAATTTAAGTAAAAAATCTATTTTTCTAATAATTATCTGATCAAACTTCATTAACGATGCATAAAAGAGACGGAAGTCTTGCGGTAAAATAATCAAAGAAAAATGAAATAAATTCCAAAATCTCAAACAATATCTTCTTTAAATTCATAAAATCTTCTTTTTTAAAGAATTTTATTCACGTTTTAAGTCTCGTGAGGAACTTTACAACAGATTAAATTAAAAGCGCCACTTGATGGCAATAATTGTTGGTTTTAATTAGCTTTTAATTTGGTTCCGTTGATTGAATTTTAATTTGTGGAAAAATTGTTTTTGTGAAATTTTGGAGAAAAATTGAAGCGTAAGTGAAAAAAAATATTAAATTTTTTTTAAATGTTTTTGAATTTTTTGATTTCAAAAAAGAAAAGAACATTAAATTTTTGAAATTAAAATCAATTAATTTTCAAAATTAATAGAAGTTAAATTTTTGAAATTTCAAAAAATTCAATTTTTAAAAATAAAATTAAATTCAATTTTTAAATCTTTTTAAAATAAAAAAATTAAAAAAAATTAAAATTAAAAGTCTCAATATTACAGAAATTTAACCAATTTGTTCCTAGATCCCAAATCATCTCTAAACTCAAAAACACTTGACAATCTCGATTACAGCACCCCCAACCCAACATCATATCCACATGCATAGCCATTTAATGTTCATAAATGGTCAGTCGAACATTAAATTCATCTCGTTTCATTTATTTTTCTATATTTAGACATTAAAAAACTGTGTCTGTATTCATGACTATACATCAGTCTGTGTACACGGACATACATGTGAGCTCTTTCACATTCATGTCCTTTTGTTCCTCATTGTCATTGTACAGTTCCTTTTTTCAATTCGCACGTTTGTGTTATGAGAGTATCAATTATTGTTATTATTAATAACATTTCTCATTATTGTTGTTGTTGCTTGCTTGCTTTGTCCTTCCTTTTGTTGTTGCTGTTGCTATGAGGTAATGAAAATTTATTTTATGTGTCGATTCCGCTCTTTTTTTGCAGTCTGTGATGTTCATCGAAATTTATTAATTTATTTTTTTTTTGTATGGAGATTGTCGCGAGATTTTAATGAAAAAAAATATTAAAGAGGAATTTATGAGATTGGGAGATTGTGTGGCTTAATTTATAGGTTGGATGACCTGAATATTTTGTTTTGAGGGATTGTACTGGCTAGGAGACATGTTAATCTAGATATTGTTTGTTTTTATCTTAGGATGCTGAGTCTGAATTTCAAGATTATGTTGGTTAAGTCAGGGGCGTAGTCAGGAATTTGAAGAAGAGGAGGAGGGGGAATTTTTTGTTTAAAAAAATTTAGGAGGGGGGTTTGTGATTTTTTCATAAAAACCCTAGCAAAATCCCCCCAAATTCCCCCTCCCCTGGCTCCACGCCTGGATTAAGTCATTGACGTGAATATTTGTGGATAGTTTAAAGAAGTTTCAGACGAGGGCAAGTGAGAAGTTAAAAAAATTTAACTTTAGAACCCCCACTCCTTCCTCCTGCAATGCAATGCACTTGACAACGGTTTATTCATCAAAAACTGCTCAAATCCGAGCTGCAATGACCAGAACAGCGAAAAGGTACCCAAATCTGACCCTTGGATCAAAACAGGGTCGGTAAGGTTGGTTAGCAAACTTCTAACCAGGGGTGTAGTCAGAAACTTGTTGCCCCCCCCCCCCCCAGAAAGTGAGGGGGCAAAAATTATTTGTTTGAAAAAAATTAGGAGGAGGGCTGAGGATTCATAGACATATCCTCTCTTTGGATGAGCTTGGTAATCATTATACAGGAGCCACGAAGCAAAAAAAAAGCTACTTGGCGCAGAACAGTAACGAAAGAATGTCAGCTTAATGTGCAGACAAACTAAGTGACAGAGCCAATAAACAGAGTAAGATTGAAAGCCTTTTGTTGTAACCTAAGCTCCACATAGGAACATGGTTACAGTAAGTAAATAAGTAAGTAATGAAGCCAAAGAGTAAGAACAGAAGTAAGGCTTTGACACTTTTTGATACTTCCTGACTTGATTCTTGAGTCTCAACATTATATAGTGTGCAGTACTAGTTATGACGGTTAAGGCTAAAGGTATCTAAACAATCAAAGCCTATTCATGTACTGTGACTAAGCTTAGTTCTATAACGTCCTATCACTGACTCACAATGCTCCTCAACATCCAACCAATAACTCAAGAACCATCAAAATTCCTCAAATTTAATCTCAAACTTCACATTAGCAATCTTCAAATTCCAAGAAAACATTAAAAAGTTCTTCTTTCTAAACGGAAATCAAAATCTTACCGCGCAACGTCCACAAACCGAGCATCAAATATTCCACCCGCATCTTTATCTCAATAAACTTCCACTTAAAAATGATAATAAAAGTAAGAAAAAGGTTAAAAAAGTTCCTCGTTCACAAAAAAGGTGGAAAATTTGGAACCCAAAACCAAAATAATAAAATAAAGTTGCACCAACACACACACACAAATATGATGTGAAGTGGTGTGCGTGAATGTGTCATAAGATGCACATGTGAGAATCATAAAATATATCTTTCGAAATGATTCCAGAAAAGGGAAACAAATAAGCTGTGAAGGGGGATGAAAATTACTAATACATACAAATGTTGTGTATGTACATGACACCAACACTTATAAAGTGTATATAAATAAATGAAGTTGAGTAGAATTTAATGAGGGTGGTGAATGGTGTGCGTGACTCATCACGGAGGGGTTGTTAGGCCTAATATCCAATTTATGTATGTATTGGTGAGACTTTTGTATGTATTAGTAACAATCTTTGTTTGTATTTGTGATTTAAAATAACTTTTTTTCTTTACATTTTATGGACGAAATTTTCCAAATTTTCAACTTTTCAGCAATTTTTCAAATCAAATTTTCCACTTTCTTCACTTTTTTACCACTTTTTGCCACTCAAAACCCACGAAAAAAGTAAAAATGGATGAGAAAATTTTCCTCGAGTTGAAAAAAATTGCGCAGATTTTTCTTTTACCTTTCCGAATTTCCATCAACTTTTTACACTTTAACGTCTTGCGACTACATTTAAATTTACAAAATTTTATTGCACAATTAAAAACTAAAAATGTCTGTTCACTTTTCGAGATTAAATTTTCAACGTGAATTATTTTTTGACGAACAAAAATTTTTAAAACACAAAAATTCACACAAAAATGAAGAAAACTTTTTGCCTCTCACAGTTTTATTCGCTCTTGTGTCGTTCCTACATCGAGAATGAATAAAAAAAGGCACACAAATACAGATGTAAAGTCACCAATACATTGATATAATTTTAAGTGTTTGAGAGCCACCCTACTTGCTGCCCACTTTACTCACTCCATGTGGCTTGTTTTTCCTCTAGTTTTACTAATACTAGGAAGCATTAGTAGTGAATATGGACATGTGAATATACACGGATACAGACAAATGTGGGAATTTAAGTATTATCTCATTAGAAAAGAAAGTCTCTTTTTAGTTCTTGTTGTTGCTTCCCTTGTGGGGATTTTAGCATAAAGAAAATTATACTTTTTTGTGGAAAATTCGGAAAGTTTTCAAAATTTCTTTAAGATTTTTTTTTCAATTATTAAAGAAAACTTGAAAAAAATTTGGAAAACTTGAAAAATTAATATAGAAAATTCGGAAAATTCACGAGGAAAATTCGGAAAATTCGTGAGGAAATTCGAATAACTCGGAAAATTCATAAGGAAAATCAAAAAATTCACTTGAATTTAATAAAATAACTTAGAGGAATATTAATGTTAAAAATAAGCTCTAGTAAAATTTTTAACAATTTATCTCAAATTATATTAACCTTTCCTTCCTAAACCCCTTAAAACCCAACTAAAACTGAAAAACATTCCACATTAAAATCCTCAAAAACCAAACCAACCACAAAAAAGCTTCCAATTATTCCCCACAAAATCACCACAAAGACCTC